TCTTTGATGCATCTATGATGCATCAATGATCCATCCTTTGATGCATCTATGATGCATCTATGATTCATCTATGATGCATCAATGATCCATCTTTGATGCATCTATGATGCATCAATGATCCTGTAATGTAAAAATAACAGCATAGGTCCTCTTTACTATCATAGTTCCCATAGTTTTTAGGGATCAACCGGGGATCAAACCAGCAACCTCCAGATTTAAAAGCAAACACTATAACCACTCGACTATCCATACAATATTATTACGACAATATTATATGGTTTTAGATGGATCTTTCTACAAAGCTGTCGTCTTGCGAGGTGCTCTCTTCCCCTTTGAAAGTCCCCATCAAAGATCTGACCGAGCCGGCGAAAATTCAATCTGCTAGACGAATCAACACGAGATTCGGAACCATGGTGATCGTACTACACGTCACCACATCTGCCGGCGAGGAGAGGGTGACATTTTTACCCTCGAGGTTCACCAGCCTCCTCACAGACGAAGATCTAGAATGTTTCACAAACTCTAAATTGTATAGTGTTAAATGTACGGGGATGGTGGGGAATTCCCCAAATGTGCTTATTTATAAATATTAGTTTTTAGCATGTTGTTCAGTAGTAGTAGTGCTCAGTAGTTTTTAACACTTCACTCAATTCTTTATAAATTAGTAATGTGTCTTGCTTGTAGAATAAATATTTGTAACATTATAACTGCGTTTTCAATTCCAAGTGCACCCTCAAAATAAGGGAGGGGGGTATTATATGGTATAATACTAAGCCAGTTCCTCTGGATACAAGTACAATACGATATAATACCTGAACCTGGGGGTGTCCTTCAGACACTCGGACAGTCCCAAACCCTGTCCTAAAGGGTGCACAACAAGTTTTCTATATACTATTTGCTAGGGACATGAAGTTTTTTTCGTTTGGCGAGAAGGTGAGGTTTTTTTTTGTTTGGCGGGAAAATAAAAGTGAGGTTATGTAACTTGGCGGGAACCTACGCAATACGTTGTTTGGCGGGAATCGGCGGAGAAGAAGTAAGGTTTTTTTCGTTTAGCGCGAAAGTCACTTGGCGGGAAGGTGATTTTTTCGTTTGGCGCGAAAGTGAGGTTATATTACTTGGCAGGAAGGTGATTTTTTCGTCTGGCGCGAAAATAAATGTGAGGTTATGTTACTTGGCGGGAAGGAGAAGTTTTTTCGTTTAGCACGAAAGTGAGGTTATGTTTCTTGGCGGGAAGGTGAAGTTTTTTTCGTTTGGCGGGAACCTACGTATGCAATACGTAAAGTGAGGTTAGATGTTTGGCGCGAAAACAAAAGTGAGGTTAGACCACGTGGGACACCAGAGGGCGACCACGTGGGACAAAAGGGGGCATGGCCTAGGGGGAAGGGTGGGGATGAAATGCTGCTCTCTGATTGGTGGCCGCAAGAGCTGCTTTTCCTACTCTTGTACTCTCCTAAAGGCCTGCATTGGTTTGTAAACGTAGAAAATAAGGGCGTGGTATCCCGCGGGTGTATTGGTATTGGTCTTATTGTGTGGAGTACCTACTCAAGTTGCCGCCGGCGATAGGCATTGTTGAACTCCCTGCGGAAGTTACAATTGTCAATCAAAAGCAGCGAATTGAAGCTGGTATTGTGCTGCTAAAGATCGTCTACTCGTCTAACGATGCCAATAGAGCTGCTAGCTCACTTGGGACATGAGTTGGTGGTAACTTATAAACATTCGATCATCATTTTTTATCTTTTTGGTTCGTAGTTAAACTTGCAAGACACTCTCTACAGAACAAAAAAATAGTTTATTAGATAACTTACTAAAAGTAAGTTTTTCTTACATTTTAACCAAGGGACCATCATGACGTAGTTTACATTCATTTAAATTATTAGACTTTGATCCAAACTTAGATGTAAATTGTTCTACTGTTCTTAGAAATATTAACCTAGTAACATTTTTTTATTCATATGTGTATTGAAGAGAACCTTCGGCCATATCTACTACTCTTTGATGGTCTTTCAGCCATTTTGCTATTATTGTTTCTGATTGTTTTGGGTTGAACATTGAATATTTTCAATTTTAAGAAATGATTGTTTAGCTTCTGTACCTTCTTAAATATATTGTAGAAAATGTAATACATTTTTTTCATCAATGACCACATGTTTCAAAGATCCTGTAAAGACTAATAAATGAAGATCTCTCAACCTGAAAACCTAATCAATATTCATTTAAAAAACGTATCAACAACTTCCATCAATTCCTGTAACCAAAATTAATTAATGAATGCTTTTAGGTTGTCAACCCAACCACAAATTACTTTCTCAGACGTCTACACGATGAGAGGCTATTTAATCAGCTGCAGGAAGGGTGTTTTTACATCATTCAAGCAATTAGCCTAACAGCTTGGTTACCCGAACACCTGTGGTCAGGTGATATGTGGAGGCAAAAACCCTTACAACCCCCAAACCCAAACCTTCCAAAAACCGTTGGTAACTTTGCTGTTGTTTTAAAATTATACTGCCAATTCACATACATAGGTTACAATAAGATATAAAAATAAGAAATAAATTTCGTGATTTACTCTTTGGGTCATGTTTATGTCATATTCACTCAAAGTTTTATAAAACTGTAGTAACATAAAACTGTTACTATTAAATATTGATAAGACACTTTGTTTTGGACATTTTCTTATCAAGTTGTAATTTTTTTATGGTTTTCTTTCAATGAAAAATATTGTTAAAAAACGTCACATTTGTCATAGTTTAAACTATGTTTTTTTTATTTTCCACGCGCTTATATACAAAAATATTCCCGTTCTATCAAGCAAAAACAGTATACAAAAAACATTTTTACAGCTATAATTATATTTCATACTTGTTAGTTACTTTTGCTTTTTGTCATCACATTTTTGTAACTTCTCAACTTAATAATCCTCTGATCTTAGTAATGGAAATGTTAATAATAAAATATTTGGTAGATAGCAATATTGGATTTTTCTTTGTTTGAAGTTCATTGTTGGTGATGGTGAGTTAATGTTGTTCAAAGGTTTATTGCGGACATTTTGATTTTGATTTTGATTGGATTTTTATGTGAATCCTGCTTTATGGCAAATTAATTCCGACGGTAAAACTTTGTTGTCAATGCTTTTGCAAAGATTTAAACCACCTCGTCGTCCCCTTTTTAAATACGCTCCCTTCCGACAATTTCTTGAATTCCTACAATGCCATTTACATACTGAAAGGTACGATTCGAAATAACTCTCGAAACGTTACGAAGCGATTTAAACGTCACCTGCGGTTTCTTTGCGAGTTGACGATTTGACTTGTAAATCTAGTGCCGAGGGACTCCCTATACTCCTGTGGGGAGCGGTTAGGGGCGCTTTTTGGGGGAGGTAATGTATGAAATGCTCAGTCCCTTAGCTTAAGTCAACAGTTGCCGTTGAGAGGACCAAATTGATTGAGGGATTGCTATTGTCCCCGCCCCAAGTCTCAAGTCAGTTTTCCCCCAGAATCTACCGTTTTCCACGTGCGGTGTTTTGAGCACGTGAGTGGAAAATGTACAACATATTCTATTAGCTTCAATTTTCAGTTTGTTTTCAGATAGATACATTTGTTCCGACAATATTTACAACACAACAAACAACAACAATATTTTAGTTGTAGTTGTACTGACGTTTTCCAGTTATGTAACCCTGCATTTTGTAAAAAGATATTCTTGATTTCTGAACAATTATTATGTGTTATAGTTGTTCTATTGTATTACTGTTAATTTCAAACAATGTTAGCTTTTATATTTAAGTTAATTTACCTTAAAAATAGCAAAAACCACAAAACAATTCAGGTTATTTTTGCATACTAGCCTACTACGTGATTATGTTTTGTTACATTGAATTGTTAATACTTTACACCCGAGTTTTATAGTTCCTCTTATTTGAAATATTGCTTAACACTTTATAATAAATATTTTTGTACTGGTCAGCTTTACAATTAATTAATATCCATTATTTCAAACCGGCTAAATTATGTTATTTACGTAATCTTTGCAAAGATCTTCCTCCAAAAATTTGGGTTTTTACTATTCGTGATGAAAAATATCCGCAAAAGATACTTACACAATTAACATAAATTACCGTCATCAAAAGTGCACTTCAAAACGAAGAGCTGATTAACTATTTTGTAATTTTTGGTAAAATAGCGTTTAATCAATTCTAAAAATCTGGCAATTTCCGGAGGGTTATCTTAAAACAATTATATAATCGTTGCAAACGGAATTTATTGTGCAATCGACGCCGTGTCTCTTATGTTAGCAATACCAGCAAAACTCTTAAACAGGTGATTTGCATGACAATCATTGTTTGGTATAATAAGAAAAATATGTACATAGAATGAAATTAATCAGTCTTAATTAGGCTAATTTTTAAAGTGCTAAACAATGTTGAATTGCTGTCACAGACCTTAGTGAAGCTGAAGAGATGTTTGGTTTGGGGTACCCCACCTGACTTGAAGCACTGGGCAATGGCGGCGTCGACGAGGACTGTCCATGTACACGTTGACCTACTTGCACTATTACAATTGTCCGTTAAATAAACAAAAAATAATTTCTTCTTGGGATAAAAACAAAACTATTGTCACTTCTATTAGCACTGTACAGACTGATTAATTTAAAGAAAAAAAAGGTAAAAATTGCGGGATGTTGAAAAGATGATGCGGATATACGATAGTAAATATGGTGATAGTTCAGCGGCGGACGACAGTGGACTGCGTCGTTTGGAAAGATATCAGTGTTGAGGGCAAAGGCCGCATACCTTCGTTAGCGGCTGAATAGCGGAAAATTACTTGGGCTAGGTTTTGTTTGAAACGGAAGAATATAAATATGGACTCGATTTAAAAATCATGAAACCTAAAATATCCAACATATCGCCCCCCTTGAACCAACCTGGTTCAATGAAAAAACTGAAAAATGGGAAAAGACAAATGAAAATAAATTGAAAGGGGGTGAAAGGGAATGCTTAGGAATTAATTGGTAGGAAGAAGGGAAACTTTGACGGTTGGCCGACTGAAGTTCCCTGTAGCGGTGCGTAGATGGACCACTCGTACAATTCCGTCTGCTCCTGGAGATACTGCGGTGATTCTTGCAAGTTTCCATTGTAGGGGAGGAGTGTTAGGCTCATGAATAACAACAAGGTCACCAATCTTGAGGTTCTCTGTTTTACTCGTCCACTTAGAGTGATGCTGTAGAGTATGCAGATACTCTTGGGACCATCGAGTCCAGATGTGTTGAGAGAATGCCTGAACTAATTGCCATCTCCTCAAGCGGTTACAAGAAGTTTCATCATATTGAGGTTCAACCATGGATTTCAGATGTCCACCAGTTAAAAAGTGTCCTGGGGTTAGAGACTCTAAGTCATTCGGATCTCCAGAGAGAGGGGTAAGCGGTCTTGAATTTAATATTGCTTCGACACGTGACACGAGAGTTATGAATTCTTCATAAGTCAGGATTTGGCCACCGATTACTCTATGAAGGTGATGCTTAGCACTCCTAACAGCTCGTTCCCACAAGCCACCTTGATGAGGCGCGTGTGGAGGCAGAAATTTGAAAGAAATGTTGTTTTCTTCAGCAAAACGGTGAGTTACTGGATTGCAAAGGAGGTTGTTAAAACATTTGTGAAGTGCAGCAGCTGCTCCGACAAAGTTGGTTCCACAATCACTATGAATTTCCTTCACTGAACCACGTCTGGAAATAAAACGTGTAAGAGCTGCTATATAAGCTTCTGAGGACAAATCCGACACAACTTCTAAGTGTACGGCTTTCGTTGCAAAGCAGACAAATAGACAAAGATAAACTTTAATAGGCTGAAGCCTTTTTAGGACATACAATTTCACTGTAAATGGTCCGGCATAGTCGACTCCAGTAACATTAAAAGGTCGGGTTGCTACCACTCTTGGGGAAGGTAAGTCTCCCATCAATGGTGTGTTTGGCTTAGGTTTCATTCTGAAACATCTCAGGCGTTTAAAAATCCTGGAGCGTATGATACTACGAGCAGAAAGTATCCAATATTTCTCACGAAGAACAGCTTGGAGTTGTGTTGGTCCACAGTGAAGAAAGATGCGATGATGATAATCAATTATCAAATTTACAACAAAATGATCCTTTGGTAAGATAATTTGATGCTTGGCGCTGTACGGCAACTCAGAATGTTTCAGTCGTCCTCCAACTCTTAACAAACCTTCATCATCCATAAACGGTGAAAGGCGTTGAATGCGAGAAGAACACACATTCTTCTTTGACAGGGAATTAATATCCTCAGAGAAACTCTCTCTTTGAACAAGCCAACAAATCCGTTTGTTCGATACTTCTAACTCTTCAAGTGTGAGAGAATGAGTAATCCTTTGCTTAGTTTTCAAGCAGGAAATAAAACGTAAAACGTAGCCCATGACATGAAGTAGTTTAGTCCATGAAGAGAATTTATTGATAAACTTCAGATCTTGATCTTCAGCTATCGTAAGAAGATTTAGTGTTGTGGTTTTAATTTCTGGGAGTTCCTCTTCGGGAAGATGACTCGATGGTTGAGGCCATGAATCAGATGAACTCTTAAGCCATGTGGGTCCAGACCACCAGAGCTTGTTATGAATAAGAAGAGATGGGGTTAATCCTCTAGAGGCAACATCAGCGGGGTTTTCAAGAGTAGAAATGTGTTTCCATATGCAGGAAGGGGTCAATTCTTGAATCTGTGCAACACGATTTGCAACATATAACTTCAAACGATGAGAAGGGGTGTGAATCCATGAAAGAGCCACAGTGGAGTCACTCCAAGCGGTAACAGAATCTATCTTGTAGCGATCTGAGAGTTGATCAACACAGTAGTGTAACAGTTTGGCTAAAATATGTGCTCCGCACAGTTCAAGGCGAGGAATCGTGATACGTTTCAGGGGTGCCACACGTGACTTGGCTATTAATAAGTTGACATATATACTGCCTTGCGGGTTCTCAGTTCGTAGATAAACACATCCAGCAAAACCGAGTTCACTTGCATCTGAAAATCCATGCAACTGAATATTAACCGCATCACTCAGAGATATGTACCTGCCAATCTCCAAATTTTCAATCTCAGGAAGTTCGTTGACAAAAGTTGACCATCTGTCGATAATATCACTAGGAAGAGTATTATCCCAATCTAGGCCTAGTGACCATATATGCTGCATGAGAGCCTTAGCCCAAAAAATAACAGGGGTAAGCATGCCTGTTACATCTTGTTGTTGTCTTGTTGTTGGAGCATCTTGTCCATCTTAGCGATGGAAGACAAAATTGCTCTTTTGGTAAAAATCAATGGAGCTTCAGAAATTGCATATGAGAATGTGTCTGAGTGTGGATTCCACTTCAGTCCAAGAATACTAACACAAGGTGAGTCAGTTGATAAGCAGTGTTGAGGGGGTAAATTTTCCAATATTTGGCTATTGTTAGACGCCCATTTGCGAAGTTCAAAGCCTCCTTTTCGTAAAAGGTTTATTACATCTTGCTGTAATTTTGCAGCTTCTTCAACAGTATCGCTGCCTAGTAGCGCATCGTCTACGTAAATTTGTCGTTTAAGTGCATGAGCAGCAAGTTCATGATTCTTTCCTTCATCATGAATTAATTGTTGTATTACTCGATTAGCCAAAAATGGCGAAGAAGTCATACCATAAGTAACGGTTGTCAACTGAAAAACTCGAAGCGGCTGTGACATTTCTTCTCTCCAATAGATGAGTTGAAAACGTTGGTCTTGTTCATGAATAGAGATCATACGGAACATCTGTTTGATATCACAAGCAAAGGCGATCCTATTTTGACGAAAACGTAGAATTATGTCTGTTATTTAATTATGTAACTTGGGTCCTTGATGCTGTAGACTGTTAAGTGTTACACCAGTTGAAGTTTGAGAGGACGCATTAAATACAACACGTATCTTTCCATCCTTAAAGACACCGTGGTGTGGTAAGAAGCAATGATATTGGTTATTTAGATCAAATAAGTTTGAGGGTTTCATTTGACCAGAGGATTCGTAGTCATTCATAAATTCAATGTACTTTTCTTTGAAATCAGGTTGCGATTGAAACTTACGTTCAAGCGATTTGAAAGTTTGTAAAGCAACTGTAGAAGAATTTCCTAGTTTTACTGGATTTTCTTTGAACGGTAAACAACAAACATATCTTCCCGTCTCGTCACGAGAGTGAGTTTTCAAAAAATGATCTTCACATTCCATTTCCTCTGGGGATAGCTTAGAACAAGCAGGTGGTTCTTCCAATGCCCAAAATCGCTGAAGTGTTTCATGAAGTGTAAGATCATTGATGGAAAGTAAAGTCGTCAATCCACTGAAGGTTTGGCCGTCTTGTGAAGTAGGCACGTTCCCAAGGACAACATATCCAAAAATAGTGTTTATAGTGTATGGCATACGATCACCAAGACTGGTGGCAGATCCAATAATAGTTTGAGCAAACAGATCCGCACCGATGAGCAAATGTCCAGGAGTGTCGAAGTTGGGATCGGCAAGTGCGTATTCTTTGATTTGAGCCTTTATTTCAGAAGATATCTTGACACTAGGCATATCATTGGTAATTCTATCAAGTATGAGGACAGGATGTGCCGTAGCAAGTGTTTTCCCGTTAAGCGAAGAAATATTTACAAAGGAAAGTCCCTTAGGCTTTATTCGAGCTGAGGCAATGCCCTTTATCTCGTGAACGCCAACAGACGAACGCTGAATGTGAATCATACTGGCACAGTGTTCAGATATTATACTCGTTTGTGATGCACTATCAAGCACAGCTCGGACAATAATATTATGACCATTCGAGGTAGAAATTTTTACCAATGCAGTGGCAAGAAGTACAGTACAGTTGTGGCTGGCAGCACCAGTGTCTACATGAGCAGAGAGTGTATTTGATTCAAATCCTTGCGGTACAGGAGCCTTCAATTGTGTTGTGGAATTGGCCTGAGTCTTATTCGAGGGCTTAACAGATTTTTTCATTATAGGCTGGTCCGTTTTGTAAAAATGCAGTAGCGTATGGTGTCGCTTAAAACAAACTCGACACGAACTGGATGACTTACATGAGCCTAAGAAATGTCGTCCTAAACAATTAACACATAGGCTATTGTTCTTAATGAAGTTGAACCTATCGTGTGGTGATAAGGCACCAAAAACATCACAGCGAAAAATGTTATGCGATGCTCCATTGCAGTAAGCACAAGTATGAGCTTGTTCATTGTCATTAGAAGAAAGCATTACAACTTTGCTTGGCTTGGGACTAGCGGTTTGCCTACCTAGATAAGGCATGTTCTTACTACTTCCATAGTTTTTTAACTGAAGGGAAGAATTAGCATGTGAGGTCGAGCCTAAGTTAGCCACCTCTCTGTAAGAACACTCATTTTCCAGAAAGTTTATTATTTTTTGTGACAGAAGGAACCTGTTTTGAGTCATCTCGTTTTTGTTCAAAATCTGAACGCATAGCGGAATCAAGCTTTCTCAAAATATGTGTACTTAAGATCAGGTTGTCATCAGTTATGTTATGGCCAAGTGCTTTAAGAGCTTGCTGATTTCCATTAAAAATTGAAATAAAATTCCTAAGTTGTGTAACATTAGGCTTAGTAAGCTGCGGTAGGTCCAAGATGTTAGTAGAATGTAATGAAATCAAGAGCCTTGTATTGTGGTACCTCTTAAGCAGGGTTTGCCAAGCAATTACATAATTAGCACTATTTAGTGGTATAGACTTAACTAAGTTCAAAGGTTCATCTGAAAGACAGCTTATGAGATATGAGAATTTCTCAACATTAGAAATTGTTTTATTATTATGTACAGTACTTTCAAACAGGCCATGAAATGAGACCCATTGCTCAGGATTGCCAGAGAATGTTGGCAGTTTGATTTGCGGCAATTTCACAGTCAGATTAACTGTAGGAGTAGTAGGGCCTACCTCGGAAGTAGAGTCATTTAGGCGTGACTCTTCAAGTTTAACTGGTGGAAGTAACAAACTACAGTTTGACTGAATCTCAACAAAATAATCAGAAATTTTTTCTTGCAGTGAAGTAATTTTATCATCTTGAATATCTTCAGGAGTGGGAGTAGGATCATCAATGATCAAAGATGGATCATTGATGCATCAAAGATGGATCATTGATGCATCATAGATGAATCATAGATGCATCATAGATGCATCAAAGGATGGATCTTTGATGCATCATAGATGCATCAAAGATGGATCATTGATGCATCATAGATGCATCAAAGATGGATCATTCATTGATGCATCTATGATGCATCTATGATTCATCTATGATGCATCAAAGATCCATCCTTTGATGCATCTATGATGCATCTATGATTCATCTATGATGCATCAATGATCCATCTTTGATGCATCTATGATGCATCTATGATTCATTTATGATGCATCAATGATCCATCTTTGATGCATCTATGATGCATCAATGATCCATCCTTTGATGCATCTATGATGCATCTATGATTCATCTATGATGCATCAATGATCCATGTTTGATGCATCTATGATGCATCAATGATCCATCTTTGATGCATCTATGATGCATCTATGATTCATCTATGATCCATCTTTGATGCATCTATGATGCATCAATGATCCATCCTTTGATGCATCTATGATGCATCTATGATGCATCTATGATTCATCTATGATGCATCAATGATCCATCTTTGATGCATCAATGATCCATCTTTGATGCATCTATGATGCATCAATGATCCATCTTTGATGCATCTATGATGCATCTATGATTCATCTATGATGCATTAATGATCCATCTTTGATGCATTAATGATCCATCTTTGATGCATCTATGATGCATCAATGATCCATCTTTGATGCATCTATGATGCATCTATGATTCATCTATGATGCATCTATGATTCATCTATGATGCATCAATGATCCATCTTTGATGCATCTATGATGCATCAATGATCCATCTTTGATGCATCTATGATGCATCTATGATTTATCTATGATGCATCAATGATCCATCTTTGATGAATCTATGATGCATCAATGATCCATCCTTTGATGCATCTATGATGCATCTATGATTCATCTATGATGCATCAATGATCCATCTTTGATGCATCTATGATGCATCAATGATCCATCTTTGATGCATCTATGATGCATCAATGATCCATCTTTGATGCATCTATGATGCATCTATGATCCATCTTTGATGCATCTATGATGCATCTATGATTCATCTATGATGCATCAATGATCCATCTTTGATGCATCTATGATGCATCAATGATCCATCTTTGATGCATCTATGATGCATCAATGATCCATCTTTGATGCATCTATGATGCATCTATGATTCATCTATGATGCATCAATGATCCATCTTTGATGCATCTATGATGCATCAATGATCCATCCTTTGATGCATCTATGATGCATCTATGATTCATCTATGATGCATCTATGATTCATCAATGATCCATCTTTGATGCATCTATGATGCATCAATGATCCATCCTTTGATGCATCTATGATGCATCTATGATTCATCTATGATGCATCAATGATCCATCTTTGATGCATCTATGATGCATCAATGATGCATCTATGATTCATCTATGATGCATCAATGATCCATCTTTGATGCATCTATGATGCATCAATGATCCATCTTTGATGCATCAATGATCCATCTTTGATACATCTATGATGCATCTATGATTCATCTATGATGCACCAATGATCCATCTTTGATGCATCTATGATGCATCAATGATCCATCTTTGATGCATCTATGATGCATCTATGATTCATCTATGATGCATCAATGATCCATCTTTGATGCATCTATGATGCATCAATGATCCATCTTTGATGCATCTATGATTCATCTATGATGCATCAATGATCCATCTTTGATGCATCTATGATGCATCAATGATCCATCTTTTGATGCATCTATGATGCATCTATGATTCATCTATGATGCATCAATGATCCATCTTTGATGCATCTATGATGCATCAATGATCCATCTTTGATGCATCTATGATGCATCAATGATCCATCTTTGATGCATCTATGATGCATCTATGATTCATCTATGATGCATCAATGATCCATCTTTGATGCATCTATGATGCATCAATGATCCATCTTTGATGCATCTATGATACATCTATGATTCATCTATGATGCATCAATGATCCATCTTTGATTCATCTATG